TAAAAGTGTCGCTAACTAAATGATACATCTCTCCTCGAAATATCGCCGGTTCGATATTTATACTCGCAGCGCTTCTCGAATCGAAACAATTTGGCGACGTAACGCGGCAGATTTGCTCGCGGTATATCCTCCCCCGAGTTGAATTACGTACGTTACAGCCGCGCGAGATCCCATATTTCTTGTCAAATGATATAGCACCGTTGTTATATGGCCGAGTCATGTAAACTTGGCTCGCCTGCATCTGCCCCATCGGCGCGCGGCGTGGTAATACGACTCAAGTGGAATACACCGATGCCATGGAGGGAGGAGCAGGAGGAGAGGAAGAAGAGTGATGTAGAGAGGCAGAGAAAGAGAGGGAGAGAAAGGGAGAGAAAGAGAGAGAGAGACCGAGAGCGAAAATAAAAGAAAAAGAACCGACGCGCGTTATGACTTTATGGCGTTATATCCTGCCACGAAATTGGAGGTCCTAATCCTTTGTCTTACCGTTGCGGCCGCCACGAGGAGAGGTTTTGTTGCCCAATTTATGGTTGTTAGAATTTAACATACGGCAATATAGCCGTGCACGAGGTGCGATCGTAATATCGTGAGCAACGAAAAGAGGCACGCAACGTGACGATTGAACCGGTGAATAATTATCTACGTATTATGAAACATACCGTGATATCTTTGTACATCTGCTCTTGAGTATACTTTTTGAATTATATATATATATACAAGAACAATTCCTTATGTTCTTTTTTTCTTAAAAACAGATGCGTCAAATATTTTTTGCATCCGTGAGAATATATAGATCCATGATGGGGAACGAGGCGAGGGAACCTCACGCTACCTCGGAATTTCACTTCGCTCTCATTGCTTGAATTTTAATCCTCGATGGCCGTGCGTGCCGCGAGTGCGTGTCTGTTGCCAACAGACCGGAAGGACGCGGGTCAGGTGAGTGCGTCGTCTCCCTCGGCAAGCCGGGTCTGGGTGGTCTCGTTTTAAGGTTCGGGGATTTTTATTAATATAGCAGAAACGAACGCTTTTTATATTCCCCAGAGCTTTAATGTTAATCGATAATCCCTTTCATACGCTAGTGTTTTGAAATGAAGAAACGTAACCGTAACGTGCGATTTATGGCAGCTGTCAAACAGGCACAGATTTTAGGATAACGTGAATATATTGTGTGTGTATATATATAAATTGTATATAACTTATTCCAATATTTATCATCCGTACCGTATCTCCCAAAACTTTAACCGCTGCAAACTACCGAGTAAAGTTTATCCTCTCTCCGGCGGAAGAGGGATAGAGCAGCGTGAGCGCGATCCATTGTCCCTCCCGCTCCTCCTCCCCGCGCCGAGAGCCATGTATTTTCATTGAAACTCCACCCACTGCAAAAGTACCATTGTTCGAATATTCAAAACGGAGACGTCCATTGTGGTACGTTAGAATAGGCACAATGTGGTTCCTGTGTTGCGGCTTGCGCGCGTGCTGCGACTTACAACTCGTCCGTGACTTTTTTAAAATCCGCGCGATGTCGAAAATAAAAGCCGGGAGGGATTCGCAAACAGGTGCGCGCGTTGTTGCAACCTTTTCGATACAACGGCCCGATCGAATATCGCATCGTTCGTCCGGACCGTGGGCGGTGATACTACCTGTCGATCTCTGTTGAGCGAGGACGATTTATCGAGTTGAGGATATGGTGAAACTCGGGTTTCTTTGAACGACGATGAACGTGCTACGACGTTAAAGTGGTCTCTTTATTCATAAATCCTCGTCGCGAATAACCGCAGGAAAGTAACGCTACGATTAACATGTTTCATAATAGGTAGACTGACAATGAGAAGGAAAGTATGATGCGTGCACATGTGAAACGTAATAATCTTCCTTTAATATAATATGAATTTATAATGCGATAGACACAATAATATTAATAATAAAATAATAGCAATAAAATAATATCGAGATATTTTTTAATAATAATAGCAATTATATTAGACCTGCGGCGCTCTCGAAACCGACAAAGTTTCGCGGCTCCTTCCCTTTATACATATCGTCAGACTATCGACATACTATCGACTTTCCGAAAATAACTCGGGTCGACTGGAACCTCGAGAAAATCGAGTCCTCTTTTTCTTTCCCTCTCTTGCGTTGTCCCCGCTCAGCACGATATGCAACGAGATATAAAAATCTCAGAACCAGTGAATATAAGAACTCCATGCACGGCAAACCATGTATCAATACTTGATCCGCGGAATCAGATATCCTCTTATGTTCTATATATATATATATATATATATTCTGTTTATATTCACATTCAGAGCTATGTACAGTTTAATTACTTTACAATCGAAGTACGAACAAGCGAATAAAACTTGATATAGTTCTAGTATATATCTGTATCTCATTTTTATACCTGTACTATTCACAACAAATAGATTCTCTCACGAGGGTGCGACAATGTACACAAAACGTGCGTTTTATATATTTATATATGTATATTTATATGTAATATTTATATTTTATTTACCCTTCGCCTTCGTTAATTAACATCCGCGCAAAGCGGTATACTCGACCCTCTTTTTCTTCGACTCTCTCTCTCTCTCTCTCTCTCTCTCTCTCACACACACACACACACTCTCTCTCTCTTTACTACTAATTGTATTTACAAAAAAAACATTATAATATCTATTATATAATTATACTATGATATACGTGTGTCAGCGAATGCACGAGCACCGACCGTCCTCGTCAAACTATACCGATACCGCGAACGCCTTGTGTATGTGTGTTATCGTTTCCTCTTCTTCTGTTATTACCCCTCCATTGAACTCTCCCGTTTTATCACAGATATAAATAAATGTATTCTTTACAAAACAATGTACAATGTTCCATTCGATACATGCTCGGCCGTCGACCATGACTCTCGCGCTCACTCTTCGTTTACATTTACGCCAAAGTACAAAATAATAAGTCGTGAAACTTTTTTCTTTTCTTTTTCCTTCTTTTTTTGCTTCTCTCCAAAACGCGACAGTAACTCGCGCTAGCGATTCTTCGAAAAGACGGACGATAATATACATATAATATAAAAAAATATCAACAATTTCGAGCACCGTGCACGCCGCATTTTTCTTCTTTTACGCTACGCATTCGCGATGACTCGTGTATATTTTGTACAACTTCTCAAAACTATTAACCTTCCCTATCCCTCTTAAAAGTAAAACCTTCATGTTAACACGACTAATTAAGCAACAAAAACTTAAAATTGTCCCTAAATAAAGAAAAGAATTAATAACTGCAAGAGAGAGAGATACAATAAAATATAGCATTAAACAACAATCGTAAAATATTTAATTGTAAGTTAAAGGAATTGTACGATTCTCTGTCTCTCCTTTCGACACGTTTGACTCCTGAGATGCGCGAGTGCACGGCTGTCGCGCGAAAAGGGACGAATTTGATCCTTAATGATTATTATCCCATCTCTCTCATCGCGTGTCTCTCGTCTGCTGATAATATTACTATACGCCTAAGCGTGTCACGTCATACAGACTCCACTCGTACACGATTCATCCATATATTTATACTTATAATATAGCGATGTATACTCTCTACGGCGGAGGCTCTCTCACTCTCTTTCTCTCTCTGCAAGATCCTTAAGACGCGTCACGCCGATAAAATTTCATGATGTAGTAGGTACAGCCTTAAGATCTACGGCCTAGAGATACTTGCGCGTGTCACCGTGTGTGTAATGCGTAGGTGTATTATTTATCATGCCATCTCTATATGCGGGTATTCGGATATACGTTAATATTTTATTCGGATAATTGAAGGAGTTAGTGGTAAGTTTAACGATAGAGTAGCTTTGTAATGCAATCTGTCTCTCCTTTATTTTTTTCGCCTTAAGCCTACAACAGGTAGATCAAGTTCCTTTTTCTCTCTCTCGATGATATCGCGCGATTCTTGGTGGCTCCGTCTTGTCGAAATCTCTCTCTCTCTCTCTCTCTCTCTCTGCCAAATTACGAGCGATTTCGTGCGACGACCGTTAAGAAAGATACCGTTACATACTTCGTAACGGAAGAAGTGGTGCTATTTTGCACATTGCCCGTGTGATTAGCGATTGCTGAAAAGGCGCATCGTTTGTCCGCCGAGATACAGCAGAACTTCAAACGATCCGCCTTTCCATCGAAAGTATATATATAAATATATATATATATATATATATATATACACGCGTGTACGATCTTCAGTGTGACACCAATATTCCCATGATTGGCGCCCTTCGTCTTTATTTACAGAATCGACGATTCTACGCGTACCCCGAGAACTTGTCTTCACGGGAAGACGCTGAATGATCGGTAATAAAACGCTGATTAAAAAAA